TTGTGCATTCTTGGATGGTAAGAAAGGCATGTGTCGCGGGCCTTTGAAGCTGCCACGGGAATTCAGTTTTTGGACAGCCTCATCCACTACGGGGTGGGTACTTAGCGCGTGGTTTTTAGGACCAGAAAAGCGGATTGCGCCGGCTAGGCTCTTTGTACGAAACCTTTTAGCTATATAGCACCAAAAAGCAACATCCAGCATGGCTCGGGGCCATTTGGAACTTGGTTGCGTTGCCAGACGCCTCCACCACACTTAGCTTTATTTCCTGAGTCTAGTCGACGTGTGCCAATGAAGCCAACTTTGTGAAACTCTCCACGGCTAGCTGATACCAACATGATGTAGTTTCTTGGCTCGGAAGAGCTACTGCTTGGGTCGTTTTAGTTAGACTACTCATAATTTTAGTTAATGGGCTACAAGTTAACTGGTAGTTCAACAAGTGAGAATATGCACGTGTAACTATATTATTGTTTTTGAGTTACTTACAAGTAACTTACTCTTGAAGAAATTAGATAGAAGTAATTTACAATTTCCTACAATATAGCTTTAGTTATATATAAGATAGATTTTAGTTATGAACTAGTTACAACTACTTATATTGAAGTTAAAGCTAGTTAGTAAAGTTGTTTTTTTTAATATGTTTTCTATCAACCATATGTGCTTTGGATAATCGTAGTTTTTGGAGTGCGTGAAAAAGAGTGCTGCCCGAGTGCCTGGGACTGGGCGGGTTGGGCTATATAACACAAACACACACAAAACTAGACATAGACATGTGTATCTCTTTACTTGCGCATAAACAAGATTTTACTAGTTTTCTGACGTCGGCCAATTGTCGGGCCTTTGTCGGCCCCTCCCCCCCGGCATCGCCCGGTGGACATGTCGGCCCTATAGTCGCGCGTATTTTCTCCCATCGCATTAATTTGTTCATGCGGATCCGTCAGTTCAGTGGATGTAGCAACGTCTGTTTCCCACAGACTTCCACCACACCGCCGAGATCCACGTGGCTGCTCCGTCCAAACGGTGCTGAGGCTATAAGAAAACCTACGATTCCAAAGAAAATGGTGCCCAGAGGGCCGACAAAGGGCCGACGTAGCGGAAACCTAACCACGTGTGGGTCTCACTATTGTAATATATAAGGCCGAAAGTATTATATGAATCCTTGAAAAAGATAACTAGTTACCTATAGTTACACATAGTTATAACTTAGATATAAAAACTAACTATATGAATCCTTGAAAAAGATAACTAGTTACCTATAGTTACACATAGTTATAACTAAAAATTAAAACTAACTTATACATAAGTTATATGTAATACTTATAAATTAGTTACAACTTATTTTTTCTATGCTAACTAAGTTGCAACTAGCATAACATAACTAAAACAACCCACGCAGTAGGCGGTTCAGGGCTGTGCACAGCATCCGGATGACCCCGCCGGCGCCTGGCGGCAAAACAAGTGGCTGGTGAGCGTGAGCTGATGCTCCACTAGCAGGTCTTCAAAACTTGTCTTCTTTTGTTTGTTGACATTGATAGGGGCACTCAGTCGATGTTGGCCCAATGGGGCATCAAAACAACCCAGACGGTTCTTTTTTTGGGGGGGGTTGATACTTCAGGAAACTCGCATTGATGCCGTCACCGGCTGTCAAATCAGTGCCGCGGATATGTTTGTGAGGCAACTGCGACCTTGAGGAGCCAGCAACCAAGGCAGGTGATTCTGGCCTTGTCGGGGGTCAAAGTTGGACGACTTTAGCCACTCCTTTTGGTGGTGCAGCCTTTCATTATATTAGGTTATTCTACTGTCTTACACAAAATAGATATTAATAGGAAGTGTGCCTATTATATAAGTTGTTATTTGAACCCGGAATGGGAGGTAGGAACCTGGTGAATTCCCGCAATTTGTTCAGTATTCGAGAAAATTCAAAACTGGGTAATTATGGTTTGACGGCTGTGATGCAGGTGCCTGATGATGGCGGCTACATGCCACATGCCAGCTACCAAGGCCCACTGGCGCTTTTGGCGTGACAGGTCGTTTGAAAATCGGGGGTGATTGGTTCCAGGGCGGCTTGATTTGTTGGAAGTTGGTTACCCCAGTTGATGTGTCCAAAACCAAGAAAGGCACTGCCAGGCCCCTTCTCTTTGTTGCAGGACGCGGGATGTGGTACTCCTACCAGACCTGTGGCGGCAAGGACTACTGGATGACTGCTGAGAAGAAGAAGGAACTGCAGGTGTCTATATGTGAACAAAGACTGAAAGTGATTGGTGACTGTTAATCAATATCCAGATGGATACCTTCCAACAGCCTGGACCTGAGTTTCTTAGTCTTGCAGGGGGTGTATATGGGGCAGGCGAGGGTAGGCATATGTTCAAGTTCCAGCATGATTCACACTCGATGGAGCTCCTCAACTCGTTTGATATTGACATTGTGGTATAGAGGCGTCCTTTCAATCTCCTTAGGCGTCTATTGATATCAATTCCTGTTATCCCGTTTTCAGGCGACATTGGGGGGGATCGGGCCAGTTCGGGAAACACCTCAGACTTCTTATACAGAGTGGACGACTAATAGCTTCTCATATGGATTTCCGGGAGGCGTTTGGCATCGAAATTTTTTTCGTTGCCTATCAGGCTGTGGACAAGAAGTGCAACAAGACCATGGATGAGAAGCCGCTGGGGCATGAAAGGGTCCGGAGGGGATGAGACCGAGCGGACGAACATCGAAGTGTCAGGACATGTCATGTTGGACGAGCACAACCACAACGGCGGTAGCGGTGTGAGCGTTCCCTTTGCCAGCATCCCCTACTTTCTCATGACAGTAGTGATATCAAGCGGCAGGCGGGGAGTATGGTACCTGATCATTTTCGCTGCATGCAAGAAACAACCTTGTCTCGACCAGTTAAACTTAAACCAAAAGAAAACAATTGTTTCCACGAAGTCGACAAAACGCGGTTGAATAATCGGCAACGTCATGCAACGTCTCAAATCACGACCTCGACCGAATCGAGTGACTCTGACCTTCAATGACCGTGACCAATTCCAACCTTCACCATGGCAATGCGCTCATCACGTTCTTTGCAAAGATCCCTTATGTCACAGAACCCCTTTCCATCCTTATCCCTCTTCCCATCCAAAACTCCGAGGAAGTGGGGTGATGAGAAGTGCCGCTGCCTCGGCTACGACGGCGCACCGGGCACAACCAATGTCACGATCAATGGCTCGGAGCCGCGCGAGTTGCCGGATGCAGCTGCGTTGTGTCGATCAGCCTCGACCTCCGGCGATGTCCGATTCATGTCGTTTGTAACTATTTCTTTTCGGAGGCAAAATTGAGATAGATAAGGTTTCGGGGGAGTTTTTGCTCATCAACCAACTTGATAATTCTTTTGCTCTCAAGATGTTTTGTTGTTAAAGTGAGCAGTTGTAAAGATATTGTTGAGATTTGTTCCGTTTGCTGCTTGGGTTTAGATTAGGGCTGTAAACTCTGGATTGTAATCCTCCATAATCCTCCCCAAGATCCGCCTCACGCATATGCCGCTTTACATCGTTTTACGTTTGGCATCCAATCCGTCGGGTTGCAAAACCTGTGGGATGCATATAATCAGCATGTCTTCCGAGCGCTGATGAGCGCCTTTCAAGCAGCAATTGTGTCATGCATTTGTGTCAGAAAAATGGTTTGCCATGAATGTGCCATGCTCGTGCTCCAGCACTGGTTCAGAAGACTTGGTGTGCGAAAGCATTCGTTCATCAAACGTGGCGGAAGTGTTAAATTGCATGGGCTAGCATGATGTCGTTGTGCTTGATGTGCCGAACCAGCTTTTCAAACAAATCCGCGCCAACCTCCATCGCCTTCATTCCAGGAGATCCCCTTCCCGACCGAGACGGGTGCCAGCTGCGAGGCTTGGGATGCACAGCGCCATCCGGAGCCTCAGCTGCACTCAGCTGAGTCAATCAGTAGCAAGAAGCTAGTACTTGTAGTAATAAGGGCATCGCTACTAGGACGCTACTAGGGGCTCCTGGCCTGACTACTAGTAACAACAAGCTACGAGTAGCAAGAAGCTACTAGTAACACGTTTGCATCTCGTAGGGTCCTGGCAGGTCCTGGCGGGTCCTGGTCCTGTTAGGTCTGATTGGTGGAGATTGGGTGTGGCCCGGTGTGAGAAAAGTAGACACAGCTTGGGGATGCTTGGGGTGTTGTTATTCTTTATTGTTGGAGACATTGTTTGTGTGATTGTTATGTGTTTAAACAAGTGCGTGTTTGATCGTGTTTGTGTGTTTGGGATTGTTTCTTGTTCGTTGGACTGGGTTTGAAGCAGCATGTTTGATGCTGAACATGGACGAGTTTGGTTGATTCCTTCAATGAGGCCTTTCCTCTAAAGGTCAAGTGATGTAAAGTGCTTGGGAAAAAAAACAGTTTGGTTTAATACCATTCTAGCTTCCTTTGTAGATGAGCAAGACCCGTTGATTGGGCCAATGTTTATCGAGACAAAAGGCTAATGTACGAGGGTTCGACTTGTGTTTCACTCAAGGCCTGCAAGGGCTCCAAGCCAGCAGCCTGGTGTTCGAAGGCGTGTCTGAGAGTGGGTCAGATTGGTGGATGACCATAGGTATGGCCCATTCCCACTGTAGACCAGTTTAGCAAAGCCAAATCACTAGTTGTGAATCACCGCATGTGTTTGCTTTCTGATGTCTGATTCAGTAAAAGAATGCCCTACCAGTGGTACATCTCTACAGACACATTCCATCAGGCTTGAGTATCTTGTGGATGGGAAAGATGACAGTTTCTCTTCACGTGGACATGTTGTTCCTCTGTGCCCACCATGAAAAGAGATGGCAGGCCTCATAATGGTTGTTTCATCCAGCTAGGTCGAATCCTTTTCTTGCGGCAAAGTCAATATATATATATATATAAAGATCTGTCGCAGAAGGAAGCCAACCTGACCAACAACATCAAGAGTTGTTCTGTTGCCCTTTGTATTGCCGCTCAGCACCTGTGTGGGGCTGCACCGACAGGCCTGGTGCTATGTGGACCCTTGCGAATGTCAGTTGGCGGTGCCTCCCAAGACGTCCTCCTACTTGCCCTCGGGCAAAGCCAACGGGCGCCTCAGCACACTCGCGGAACAGAAATAAGTAGGTGATATGTTGTGATATACTGTATGTGGGAGTTCAGTTTTGATCCAACCATATCTCACATCAACACAGCTTCAGCAGTGTTTGAGCAACCAATTTGTAGACATAGGAAGCCGGTCTACTTCTCCTACGCGGCCTGTGGAATGGACGATGAGTACACCAAAGGGAATGATGAGGCCTGCGTGAATCAGAAGGTGCTTGGGTCGCAACTGAGCATGTTCTCTCTGACCCCGAAACCAATTTCTAGTAAGAGGTATGTTTGTGGAAGCACACAAATCCAAAGTAACAGGGAAGGTGTTGTGCTGCAGCTTTAGAGCTACTAACTTCCTGGAATAGATGCATGACATGTTTCCATGATCAATGAAAGTAGATAAGTAGATCCTGTCCCAAACTTCAGATTCTTGTACATTGCTGCTATGCAAGGAACGCTAACCCCGATTTCAATAAAAGTTGCTTTGATGTCGGTATCAACATTCAATACCATGATAGACAGACTAATGAACTGAAAGTCGCGAGTACATCTCGGCCAAGGCTGAAGCCAACTGCACCAAGCTAGAGAAGTGTGCCTGGACTGGTGAGCAATGTCTCGGCAAGGAGTGCTGTTAAAATTCCAGCAGACATGATGGCACCTTGAAAGATAAGACAACAAACTCTCGCACAGCTATATACCCGCTTTCCTGCCTGTTTTGTTCCAGGAGCTGGTGCAGGTTTGCAGTGGTGCTGCAGCACAGACAATCTTCGCCGGTCTGGTGGCCATGCTGACGCTCTTTGGAGCGGCCTGAGTGGCCTAGGCGGATGGACGCGTGCATAACCGTGCTGGGCGCCATGTGGAACCCCGAGGAGAAAAAGTGTGGCGGATTGCAGTGGCTGGTGTAGAAGTTGCAAGTTGGTCGTTCCCCTTCCCATTTGCGTGATTCTCTCCCAAATCTCCAACACATGCTGTCACATGCTTATCAAATCCTCGGAAAAGATGGTATCATCATGTCATTGTCAACCTCAAGAGCTTCGACTTTCACTGCTACGACCTTAGTTAGGCGTGCTTAGCTATGATTTGGGCCGGGGCTTTAGCGCCTCTGACGACGACTCCGCCAATGACGCTTTCACCACCTTCAACCGTGCGGCCACACGGCCTGGTTGGGGACGGGAGTCATGGAGAGGTGGTGGAGTCTCTTTCACACATGCACTAAAGAGAACAAGGCGCGGCCAGAAACAGATGGACCTCTACTTGTACCATTGGCCAGTGCAGAGTACTTTATTCAGCAGTGGTCGCATGTATAATTGTTTGGTCAGCTTGGTGCAAAAATCACCACCTGTTTGACTATCGCATTTCTAAACATTGGCACCCAAATATTTGTCGAGCCTCCCTGATCGTTCTTCAAGATTTGCTTCCACTTGTCTTTGGTTACTTCCAGATGAAGCGTACTGACGCGTCTCAGATAAGGCGCATTGCTCACAGCTGGGTTCTCACGGTAGTTCTCACGGTATCTAGGAAATCATTCCTCTCATCGCCATGTAGCAATTTTGCATTGGTAAATCTCGTGCTCAGCAGAAGACTGGTCCATTAGAGGATCGATTTAGTGGCTTCCTAGTTGGCTTCCTCACTTCCAACTGAATCTCTAGTTTCTCCAAGTTCAACACTCAAACAGTGCTTGGAATTCTTTTGATCCTGCATTGCAGGTTCTATGGGTGATCCAAAGTCCAGAGCAGGAGGATGACGAGTTACTCTCGCAGATGGATGAGAAGGATAATGTCTTGGAGCAGCTTGGCCACATCCCGCAGCCCGCAGTAGCAGCGATTGAGACAGCATGAGACAGTCATGTTGTGTTTCTGGCTTTGAAATGAATCTAGGAACCGAATAGTGCGAGCGTATCCTGCGTCCGTTTGCTAGTAGCAGGTTACCTAGTTAGAAGTTTGTTTAGCCCGTACTTAGTTATAGAAGTAGGCGCCTACTTAATAAATGAAGTAAGGACTACGGCTTGCACTATTCGATTCATTTGGTTCCTTTGCTTCAGGTGCTCACTTAGGCACAAAGGCAATAACAAAGACACTGCCACCAACTGACAAACGTCTAGAAGAGAAGCAACCAAGCACAAAGCATTGCACACCTCGGCAAGCTACATCCATGCCAAGCAGGTCGCTCCATGGCCGTTCATTGCCCTGAGTTGGAAACCTATCCGTGTTCAACCCACAGACATCTCCAATGGGTTTCCACCCGTTTCTGTTTCCGCTCGTTTTGCCTTTCACGTGTTTCCGTCGCTCAGGTTTCTGGCGGATTTCCATGACCGAAAGCCCAAGCACCGCGCACGGATCACTGCTTTGGCGGTGAGGCTCTTGGAGTTTGACACCTGGGGCGAGAGGACGGCGATCCGATGTCCGCGGCCGTGGTTCACTGGTGTTTAACTAGTGTGAGATGGCATCCGGGCTGGTGTTTGGTAGAAACATGTAGAAACAGCTTTTAAATCTTTCAGCTAAGGATGTGGAAGATGATGGAATAGGTTTTGGTGTATATTTTGTTGGGGGTGTTTTCTGTAGGTACATGTAGGCACAAAAACTAAACTGTCCCAACCGGCCACTTGCTTTTGCATTGCTGCTTTTGATCGATAATTTACCGTCTAGTTGTGGACCTCCACAATGGAGCTGGCTGGCTCTTCATCCACGTACCTTCGTCCACAGTTTCCGCAAAGTTGTATCTGCAGAAACCAGAACCCCATGGAAGATTCCAAGCTTGGACTTTCGACAAGGCATCAAAATATGTCATGGATTTCTTGCCGTTTGTTGGAGGTTCTCAACAAGACAATCCCCAGCAGCCGACACTTGACACATGGTGGCTCGACACTGCAAGTCCATGCACAGGCTTTGGAATCGAGCAGCCCATCAGTGTCTGGGAAGAAGCAGTCGAATTCTCCAGAGTCGGAATTCCGACTTTCAGGGCCGGACCGGTGAATGAACCTGACACCAAAAGAGAAGATTGGATCCCGCCTCGCTACGACACCTCAAAAGAAACCCTATGACAAGTTCAGGCTGAGAGCGAAACCCTTTGAAATCCTCAAGACTCGGCTCCTGCCCTTACTAGGAACAAAGAAGCTACTAGGAACAAAGGGCATCGCTACGAACGGAACTTTCTTCATGGTTCAGACAAGTCTGACGCATCCCAACTAATATTTGCCATATTCGGTCGTGCAAGAGAGTCTCAGTGAAAGGCTCTAATCCTCCAAGATCTTTGTGACAGTGTGGGCTCATGAGCCACCGATTTGACTATACTATATAAGAGAGTTCTCGAAGATATTCAGCAAAACAAGTAGTGAGTGACTAAGACCCTTGAAGCCATTATGGCTGGAATGCCAGAGAAAATGCACTTGTATTTGCTTGTACACAGGTCTTTCACGGTGCGGTGCCATTCCCAGGTGAGTGCTACCTTGAATGCCCTCACGGGCCGCTCCACGAAAAAACGCTTCCTCGGTGGCGGTGAATTTGGAGACGGCGGTAGAGCTGGCGGTGGGAGACTCAGACGGAGCGTGGAGACCAGGCGGTGGAGAGCTGGAGCGTCGGCGGTCAAAGCTAAGCATTTAGAAGCCCTCCAAATGCTTTCTCCCAACAGGTTTACAGAGATCGAGATCACAAAAGACTCTGCTTGAAACACTGCAACAAGCTGACAGAAAGTCTGTGGAACTTAAGATGAATGGCACTGGATAAGGCACCTTGCTACTAGTAGCTTCTTGTTCCTAGTAGCGATTCCCTTTGCTCCTAGTAGCGTCCTTGCTCCTAGTAGTACGGCCAGGAGCCCCTAGTAGCGTCCATGCTCCTAGTAGCGATGCCAGGAGTCCCTAGTAGCTTCTTGTTGATATCGATGTCGTTACTAAGTGCATTCAAAAGCTCGCTCACCATTGTTCACCTGTGAGGCGTCACGTGGAGGTGTGGGAGCGCTGTACCTGCGGATGATTTCTGCGAGCCATGGAGTGCAAAGGAGATGTCCTTCACCTTTTAATTGTCACAAGTTCATGTGAATAAATGGGACTGCTTAGCTGCTTTCGTCAAGATTGTGCACAATGTTATCATGAGGAACCTCTCAGAATGTCGGCTGTCGGTCTTGTTTTGGACCGTATTAGTCGACTGCTACTAGTAGCTTATTGTTTCTAATAGCTTCTTGTTACTACTAGTAAGGCACTTGTTACTAGTAGCGATGCACCGTAAGGAGTCCCAAACACGCCACGGCTGGAACTCAGGTTTCTGCATGATGCAACCCATCTTCAAACCTCATCATCGCTCATCATCCAATAAATCTACCTGCGTTCTATGGTTCAGGGCTGCATGTGCATGAACTGCAACCCCAAATAGAAAGCCGAGGTTCAGGAACATACCGCTGTAGCCATGATACATGGCTATGTTACATTACAACATTTCAACGACCATTTGAATACCTTTTCCAGCCAAAACCATTTCAGGGCTATTTCGCAATTTCATGCCATTTCTAGATCGAAGCCAAAATCTCAACGCCCCCCAAAGAATGCACAGTTACTATAAAGGGATACTGTACATATATATATATATATACATATGTGAGCAGCAAATTTAATGCCGGCACAACTTTTTGGCCAGGGTTATTGCAGGCATGAACCAAGTGGTGTGACCAGTCATGAGCCCATCAGACGTGCCAACCCGAAGAATGGAAAGAGAAAGAGACAGGAATCGTTTTACTAGCGGCGCCTTCTCAAATACATTCCAAGTTCAAGGAAGTGCTCACGCATCCTGGAGGCAGAGGTGCAGCCATTTTCACACCCAGGTGTGTCCAAACCCTGTGCGCTGCATGATGTGCTGAAAACATACAGCATGCATGCATTCCGCGTCAGCTGTGAAATGAATGTTTCCTGCTGTAGACTCGAGCCAACAAGCTAAAGTCCGGAAGCTTCTTTTTTCCAGCCGCTTCTGGAAGCCACAAAAATGGCTTCCCAAATGAGCTTGCACGGTGTCTCAACATCAACACAAATCAAAATGTCCAAGAAGCGCTTCTCAGACCTAAAAGCTTGGTTTGAGGCTGGCAGCCGTTGTGAGAAGTATGAATTATATGAGGCTGCCAGCTTTGCCAGTCAAATCTAAAAAGCAAGTTTCCAGAATTCACTAAACTTGTTACCAGCCTTGTTCCTTACCTTGCGGAGCTTTAGGGGAAGCGTTGGGCTTGCCACAAAAATCTGCGGTCCATGCCCATGCCAGAGAATTGCACAACCAAAGCACTTGCAAGGACAACGTCGAGCGAAGCTTTTTCCGCAAGGGGGATGCAAGGTGTGTTTTTTTAATATATATATAATATATATATATGTATATATTCGGTCACCCAGCCTTGGAACTAAGTCCCATGATTATATCGCCTACGTTGTGCAATGAAAACAGGAATACCAAAGCTTTCTTTATATTATATAATGACTTATAATTACACGGCCTGCCCATTTTGTTCACCTTGTGTGCCTCATCAACTCAGGAAGGGCCTATCTAAGGAGTCCGCATTTCCCTTTGCCCGCGCCACGCTGCGCAACACCGGCAGCGCCCAACGCACGGAAGCCGCGCATGCTGAGGGCAATGGCGAAGTGCTTTGGGCATCTTCCGCACCCTTTGTCTTCGAGGCAAAGCGTGGGGAAACTGCGTGAGAGCTCATCCAACCCAATAGCGATAACGATGGGCCTTTAACCTAAAAGCAATCGCCTCCAACCTAATAGCGTTGGCCTCCAACCTAGTATAGCGATGGCCTCCAACCTAATAGCGATGGCCTCCAACCTAATAGCAATGGCCTCCATCCTAGTAAATCTAATAGCGATCGCCTCCAACCCAATAGCAGTGGCCTCCAACCTACTAGCGATGGCCTCCAACCAGATAGCGATGGCCTCCAACCTAGTAGCGATCGCCTCCAACATAATAGGGATGGCCTCCAACCTAATAGCGATGGCCTCCAACCTAATAGCAATGGCCTCCAACCCAATAGCGATGGCCTCCAACCTACTAGCCATGGCCTCCAACCTACTAGTGATGGCTTCCAACCAAACAGCGATGGCCTCCAACCTACTAGAGACTAGCGAAGGCCTCCAACCTAATAGCGATGGCCTTCAACCTAATAGCGATGGCCTCCAACCAGATAGCGATGGCCTCCAACCTAATAGCGATGGCCTCCAACCTAATAGTGATGGCCTCCAACGTACTTGCGATGGCCTCCAACCTGTTTTGATGGGTTGTTTTTCCTTTCAGGTGCTTGGTCAAAACATGCGAAGACCACTTTAGTAAAGAGGGGTAGGTTTGTGCATAAAACCCTGCAAAACGATAAGGTCCAACTGAAAACCGATGACGTTCCTTTTAGTTGAAGAAAAATAAGGAGTTTTGACCGTCCTTCATATATCATATATAGATATATACATATGTATATATCATATATATAACATATAGCCAACATTTCCAGGAATTTCTCGGAATTGTAGCGGAACTTGCTGGAAAGTAAATTGGACCATGAATGAGTAAATCAATTAAGTTTCACAGCCTGACTTGGACCGTCTTCGAAACAAAACAGCATGTGAACCACGGAGTTCAGTTTATCCTCAACCCTGCTACCTTCAATGTTTAAGGCAGACTTTTTTGGATTACAATAATTTTGAGGATTTCAAGGCGAGAGTCAAGAAACATGTGCAAAAGAAAGCCTGAGGTGGAAATATGGGCGGTGATTGACTTCAACATGTCTTTCGTGGTCTGCCAATTTTCACTATGACTGCTTTGTTCCTTTTTAAGGATGAAGAGTTCCTTTTTCTATGTTTTTTACTGTTCATCAAAAATCATTTGCTCTTTTTGTGACATTGCGGTTCTAGGTTCATTTGGGGTAAGATGGGAATCTGGCACTGCAACCCAAGAACATCAACCCAAAAGAGTTTACCATAAGCTGGATAAGATGGCCAGGCTTTGACTTCACATCAACCAGAACTGGAAGACTACCAACTCATGAACAGAATGTTGTTGTAGCGAACAGGGCCAACGTGACAACCACAGTAAGTGGTTGAATGCGCATGATCGCGAAAATGCGCTTGCCACAGAACTGCCCCGCAAGGTGTCGTCAAGAGCACCTTTCCGGCAAGGTTGCACCCATTTTTCAGATTTGTTCGCTAACTCCAAATTCTCGATGTGTGACCATTCCATGACACAATCACACGTGTTTCCATGTGATTTGTTTCGATCGCTACTAGGGAGGCCTGAAGGCCATCGCAGAACTTATGGGCACGGAGCAGGTGCCGCACCTCGACGCGGAGCTTCACGTGGAAATCCTCAGCAGCGACGTGACCGGAGATCAGTTCTTAGGTTCGGCCACTCGAAGAGACAAAGTGC